AGGAAAGTGGTAAGTTATTGGTTTGATTTTTTTAAGCAAAACAGAACTAGAAACATTCTACTGTCCCTTTCAACTTCTGATAATAAACTGGGCATCAGGGATGCCAAAGTTGGCAGAGCAATAGATCCTAACAAGAACAGTGAAAAGGTCAGAACTGACCCATCTGTCTTAAAACAGAATGAAGAGGATGTTGGATGAAAGCTGCTAGCAATACACATAGCAGTTTCTATATCTTTCATACATTGAAAGAAAAGAATAAAATTATATTAAAATTATCATTTTTTTTTTTTTTTTTAAAGAGCTTTCTGAATACCCCTTACCTTATTACTGGCATTTTGGTTAGTATCTTAATTTGAATGAAAAGTGACCTTACTTCTCCATGGAGCAAGATAGTTCATGCAGAACTGAAGAGTGTGTGAATAATGCATTGCTAATAACTAGAACACATCAAAAAAAGAAACAATAAGTGCTGCTTCCAAAATTCTCTATTAAAGAAAACTTTTAAAAACTTGCTAGACACTGTGCAACATGAATTTGTCAGTCATTTTGGTAGTCGCATGAAATAATTAGTATTTTATGTTTTCACTACRTTATCCTATTTCCTATATCAATACATCATCATCAGCTTCTGTCCTCAAAATAACCATCTCGGTAAACAAATAGGTTATGCACTAAATATACATCAGCTGCAGAAGAAAGTAATCCAATTGGAATCACTTGTATATCTGAACAGGAGATCTTATCTTTTTAGTGCCATTCTGCAAATCTGACATTTCAGGTTTAGATGCTTGTGGGAGAAGAYGAACTGGCAATTGCAGATAATAGGCCATAATAGGGTCATACTTATTATCACATTTATTTTAATATATATTTAATATATTTAATTTTCCTATATAACTTATTAACTACTTTCAATAATTTGGGATGCAAATACCTAGCTTCTACAGGAAACGCACTTTCTACTTAAATAGACTATAGTTATTTGAATATGAAKATATTTCATTGAAAGCTACCCTGTGTTACATTTTAAGAATTCACATTACTTATTCCCATATCAAATGTGTAAGCCCTCCCACTTTAGCTACAGCTCTGCAAGTGCTTTTGCTGTACTACTTTCTCCTGTAYTTTCCATGGATTCTTCTATTATTGTAGCATTTCTTAAAATGGTTCAAAAACATCCATAAAACGTATTACTCCAGATTACAATTCGTTAGAGTAATTTTGATGGGGCCACTGGATTAATCTCTATAAAATTCTGTTAGACCTTTTCCTAAGGGTAATGTTTCTTATATAATGAAATCCTGTAAACACAAGGGTCAGGCAGTGAACCATGGCTAAACTGTGCAAAATTAAATTCAGGAAATACTACAGGCAGAGTTCTCCTTTATGCTCATCCAATCCTTGGATAACTCATGGGTAATGCTACAGAGAAAATACTGAGCAGATCTGTCGCCTGACACGCTTATCCAGCAAAGAAACTGCAGTCACGTCTCCTTGGTCATCACAGGGCACCTGYCACATCTGACATTCACCTGAAATCTGGTTTTCTTCATAGGAACCAAGGGGGCGTAAAGAGGGAGAGTCACTGCTGATGCTGCTTGTATCTTACCTTGATAGGGGAGCAAAGAGCAAGACAGAATCACAACTAATGGGAAGGTCCACCATTTTAGCCTCAAAATTATTAGAACATAACCATTTATAAGACTAAAATATATAGGCTAAACAAGACTAAATTTTTAAAACCATTTGCATACATTTTTAAAACATATAACACTGATGATCAATCAGCTCAAGGTCAGTGGTTATAACACAAGAAATAAATCAGCCCAAAACTAGCATCTGATATTCTTTSATGGTAGAGATTTGCTAGCTTTATGTTGTTGTAGAGAATTAAAACATTTAATGAAACATGTTTAAATGTGGCATGAAAGCTGCCTTTTTTTTTTTTCCCTCCCCACAGGATGACAACTCTAGCTAAAATTAATCCTTTGTCTTTCAAACTCTGAAGAGTAGGAACCACGGTAGTTATCAAAACCAGCCCTTTGACCCATACATCTAATCTAGCAAAGCAGTGTGCTCCAGTTCTACATGAGCAACATTTCAAAAATCAATAGAATAACTCTTGTGCTTAATATGCTTCATTTAAAAAGTGGTTTCCTYGAGAAAGTCAAGGAACTCAGCTATTTTTCTCACATAGGCCATATCTGGCAGAAGTAAAAAAGGCTCTGTGAACTGGCAAGGAGCAACATTAGATTTTTACTGCATGTTCAACAGTCAATTAAAATAAGCGTGACTGAATGAAATGACAATAACAATCTAAATGAAAAAAAAAAGCCTTTCAAGATTCAAAAGAAAATGCTTCTGGGCAGACTCCTCTCATTTTTCTTATTTTCCTTGAATAAACTGTTGCAAACCAGTCATGTGTGCTCTGATCTCTGCTACTTCATCTATTTATTTATTTGTTATTCACATTGCCATTTATAAAAGAATGAGGTCCTGATGAACTGCAAAGAATATTTGTCTATATTTAGAAAACAACACTTTTAAAGKTGTAACTCAAGAATTAAAAAACACAGCATAAAGTTTCCCAGTTCTAACTTGCCTTGATTTTTAGAAAGTTATTATTAGATTTAWTATCATAAAGGTTTTTTTGAGCTTTTAAGACCTCCCCTCTCTTGTAAACTGGTTGAGGTTGAATGGGATTCTGCTTTTACAGGAGTAACTCAGTACAAGTACTTGGTTCACGAGCTGCACTGACCCCTCAGGAAAATAAAATTGAAATTCTCTTTAAGAGAAGGAATCTCCTGAAAAATTAACAGACAATGCTGGCTTTTAATTTCTGGTACCGTAAGGGAATAATCTTCTCAACAGCCCACCACACTTATAGCAGAAGCAAAGGACACAGCTAAAGGTTCCYGGCAGTAGAAAGTCAGCACCAGCTTTGCAGGAGGCCAATTGTGGGTTTTATTTCTGACAGGCAGAAACAAAAGTTGAGGAGTACAACTTTACTAAACAATTTGCTAAACTATTACTACACTATTTTTTAAAAAAACTAACTYGATTCAATCTTTTATCTTCCTACAGGTCTGAGACAGTAAGAATTCGTTCAGTACTGGAAAATGACYGATATTGTTTTTTTCCATGGAGGGCATTGTGTAGTTCAGTGCAATAATTAAAATACATTTTTAACTGCTTAAAAAATTATATGTTTTATGCAACACCCACATAAGGAGAAARCTTGGCTTCAGTAGCAAAAGGACAGTTCAGCTGTAGGCTGTTTCTATATGTATAGTCTTAGTTGACAAGGCTCTTTGATGCATATCCTTAGGGCAAATTTGACATCTATTTCACCCCAGGCAGGCACAGATCACTTGAAGGATGTTTCTATATAATGACTGACTGCCTGCTAGAAGCCATGTCATTGTCCTCCTCCACCTCTTCAGATCTAATTTGCAGGTCAGGTGCATCTCATGACATGTCTAAAATGTCTCCCAGTAAATCAAGCAGTGAGAAGAGATGCCTGAAATAGTCCCCATCATGCTGACACCATGAAACCATGATGAGTAGTTCTGAGAATGTGTGGATAAACTCAGCTTGCCCTCATACTTGGTGCAGATAGTGCACTGTTTTTAAAGAAAATTCAGTCTCTGAAAAATCACTTTTAATATCTGTGCAGAAAAAAAAAAAAAATGTCTCTACATCTCCTTTAAAAACACAACAAAACAGAAAAATAAAAAGAAAAGCTATCTTTCTTCCTGTTAGGTTTTTTAGTTCTGCTTACATTCATCCTTTTTCTTGCCCTTCAATACAACGTTCTTCTCAGTGCCACAGTAGTTTAATTGTATAATATTTACTTTTATAGCCAATAGCTAAACACTAGTCTCCCTATCAAGCATTCAAATTTACTTCAGAAGATTTTGCATGACTTATGTAAGGTGACGGACACTTTGTAGAGTCTCCAGGTAGATAAACATAACAAGGTAGATCTTGAAAATATAAATAGGATCAATATGAGGCCATCTGTGAGCTAACCATTCCTAAATTGTTACTTTTGCAAAATTCCCACTGCAAACATGTCTTCTTGGTGATTATAGGATGAACTTGTTATTTATTTATTCTTTCATTCCATGCATTATACAGTAGCAAAAAACACTACCTATGAAGAAGTGCTAATCAATTAAGAATGAGTAAAGGATAAAATATTTCTAGAGGCAAAAAATCCACAGTAAATAAAACTTGCCCTTTCCCCATGCGATTTGATTTGCTAAACATCTGAAAACATTTCCACTCACAAGTCTGCTACAGTAATTTAAATTCTTTTTATCTTCCAAAGAGCAGCTGTGCAAGGTTTTGTTTTGTGTAAAATCTGCATAAAACCAAGAAATGAGTTATCCACCTATAAATAATATTGTTTTGCTTTTGATGAACAGTAGATGCTTTTTCCAGTTGTCATAAGATGATAGGTATTTGGCTAGAG